ATCTGGCTGGCTGATCAGGAAGGTTTTACTTCTAACAAAATTCTAGTAGTTCCCATTTGCTGAGCACTTACTCCAAGCCACACAGTCTGCTAAGCAGTTTATGTGAGTTGAATTGTAGAATGTTCACTATAACCTTGGGTAGCCAGTTATTTTTTCCAATTAGTATTTTACAAATAAAGAGACTACAGTTCAGAGAACAACATTGTCCAAGGCTTGCAGCTTGTGACTGTCAACGGCATGATTTGACCCCAGCCTGTGTGGCTCCAAAGCTGTGCCTTCTTGTACATGCAAATCACCTAGAGACTTTATTCAAATGCTCATACTGACTCCTCAACTTTGGGCTAAAGCCTAAGATTTAGCATTTCCAAGAAACTTTCAAATGATGTTTTAAGTCAGGCTGATCTAAATTATATTATGATTCCTTCTGATCTGTTAGGTAGAGTACAGGATTTTCAACAAACTCTTTCCTGGATTTTCCTGAAATAGAATTGTGGAAAGAGTTGTGGCTGGAAGTCCAGGGTGTGAATTCTGATGGTTGTTTCCACTCTCAGTAACTCAGTTTCCTCATCTGCAATGATGAATGCTTACAAAGGATCAGATGTGATACTTCCCTGAAAAAAGGACTTCATAAACTGCACCAAAAGCTATTAAAATAACATGCTATTGAGGTAGTCAAAGACAAACCAATGTCATTATTAATAACTTCTTCCAGTTGAATGGATCATGGATGGAGTACTGTGTTCTGTGTTGTAGTTTTTCCTTTTCATTTGTTCCCTGAGCTTTTTCTCTTCCTGTCTTTCTCTCTCTCTTTTTTTAACCATCTGCCTCATGGTCAAGAGTAAAGACTCATCACAGTGTTTTATTGCCTTAATTAGAACTTAATTCTCTACCTCAGCACTTGAGCCCCTTAGAACTCTGTGAAGTGTTGTTTTATACTCAGAGCTATTCTCCCAAGCCCCTTCCATCTTTGGTAAAATTGATGAAACAGCAGGAAAACCTGGATCCTCCCCAAAAATAAGGTCACTAGGAAGGCAGGAATGCTGAGCGAAGCTGACAACCATTTGGAATTCCCAGTTGTGTGGATTCAACATAGAGAGCAACAGATGGCTGCAGTGGATATCCTGAATCTGACCGAATGATGGATGGGTGGAATTTGGGTACTTATTAGCTCCCTTGATTTCCCTCTGCAATACACTAAATGTGTGGGCTATAAATTATTTGTTGTTCTTCCCATTAGGTGGTGAACACTATCTCCCTTTCCTTAAATCTAAGCTGGCCTTGAGACTTGGTTTATACCAATAGAATGTGACCATAATAAACCTGGAGCTTCCTGACCCAGGCCTTAGGACAGATGACCTTTGTTTCCTCTCACTAGGAAGCCAGCAGTGTGCTCTGAGGAAGCTTGATGCACACTGCCCAGGGGAAGAATCCACTCATAGGGAGGGACCTTGAAGGTAGGGAAGTCATCTTGGGCCCTGTAGCTCCAGACAAGCTTTCAGTGGAAGATAGCTTCACAGGCGAGCACCTTCAACTTCACCATGCACAGAGAGAGAACCACCCAGCCAAGCCTAGTCAGCCCCCAGGACTGTGAGAGACGATTCACCATGGTTGTCTTAAGCTCCTATGTTTGAGATGCCTAGTTATACAGCAATTGGTGAATAAACCAGTAGGCATTTCTTGAATCTATTTTTTTTTCTAATCTTCTCTTCCTTTTACACAGCCAACAAATGCTTTCCTATGTTTTAGGCAATGGCTCACAGCCTAGTTCCCTACTCAGTAACATAAACATCACTTGGAAATTTAATAGAAATGCAAATGCTAAGCCTTACCATAGACCTACCTACTGGATCAGGACCTCAGGGGTCTGGCCCAGCAATATGTATGAACATGTCTTCTGGGTGGTTCTGGTAAATAACTCTATCCTACCCACGCACGATAATCCCTTGTAGAGTATGAAGTACACATATGCTCAGGCTTCACCAGATCGCCTGAATCAGGTAAGGCCTAGGTATATGTGTTACTGAAAACATTCCATGTGGCATGAAGGAATTAAAGATTGTCCTTATGATGTCCAGGTTCTCTAGGTCAGTGCTTCTTAAACCAAAGCACAAAGCATTTCGCTGGGGATCTGGTCAAAGTGCACATTCTGATTCAGGGGATCCAGCATGAGCCCACACTGTGCATTATAAGTCATCCCTCGGTACACACAGGGGATTGGCTCTAGGACCCTGAGAGGATACCCAAATCTGAAGATGCTCATGTCCCTTATATAAAATGGCAGAGCATTTGCACAGAATCTGTGCACATCCCCTTGCATACTTTAAATCATCTCTAGATTATTTGTAATATCTAATGCAAGGTAAATGTCATATGAATAGTTGTTATACTGTATTTCTTAGGGAGCAATGACAAGAAAACAGAGTCCATACATGTTCCATTAAGACACTTTTTTTTCTGAATATTTTCCATTTGCTTGGTTAAATTGACAGATGTCAAAGCTGTGAACCCTGCAGGTTGACTGCACACTGACTCCCAGGTGATGCAGATGTGCATGCTTCACATGGAGTGCTAAGCTCTGGGGAGTCACCATTCTGTCTGGAATGTCTTAAAGGGCAGTTTTACACCAGCATACACAGACTACAAATGCTCTAACCAGGGTGACCAATCAAAGAATTACTGAGGGGTTTCAACGTCTCTACTGCCCAGGCGTCTGTCAAGGGAGACTCCCTACAGGAGATGCCACTTGAGCTTCCAATCAAAAGTTGAAAAGAATTTTGTCCAACAGACATGGGGAACAATGTTCTAAAGCAAAGGCAAGGGCTTCTGTGAAGGAACCCCCCCCCCAGATCCACTCAGGGTGGTGAGGGTCTCGTGGGATGGGATAAGGAAACAGAAACAAAGCCAAAAACAGTTTGTGGCCAGATCATGGACAGCCTTGAACATCCAACTAAAAAGTCCCAATTTTATCACCAGGGTCATGAGTAGACATGGAAGTTTCTTCAGCTGGGGGATAAGTCTGCGGTCAGAGCCGGGCTCCCACAAGAAGTAGACGGGTTGCCCTGACTGCCCATCTCATTCACAACCACAAGATTTATATCACAAGACAGAGAGATGCCAGGAAGATTTGGGAGCCTGGTGTTAAACGCCACAGACCCATATTTTGAAACTGGTGACCTATTTTCCTTGAAAGAAGACAATTTTCTGGTCTTTTTAAGAAATTGTCCCTAGGAGGAAGAACAAAAAGCACAGAGCAGTTGCAGAGAGCACAGCTCTGCTCACGTGTTCCAGTAAGCAATGTTCTCCCCACCATGCCAAGCACAATGTGCGTGATGGAATGAAAATCCCTTCTGCCCAGCTACCCATGGGCAGCCTTGGTTACTATGGAAAATTTCTGATTAAAGTCACAGAAGAATTTCCTAGCTAGTGACTATTATTAAAAGGCACTTCAGCCTTTTGCTGACATTCAAGATTGGGCTCTTTAATATGTCATTGCACAAGCAGGTGATTAAATCCCTATGTTTTAAAAGCAAAGAGAATGCACCCACCTTTGCCAGGCTGACTACCTTTTTAATAACATACGCGGTCCTGCTCAGTTAGCATGAGAACAAAACAGCAACCATGAAATTATTTTAACATGACCATAAAAAAAACAATTTGCTTGAGTGATGTTTAGGGAGAAGGGGGGAACCCACCCTCTCTCTAAACTAATTAAACTGTACTATATGTCCTTGTATAGTTCCTGAAATTTTTCTGGTTCACTCAGCTTGAATACTTACCCAAGGATTGGTGCCAAACTCCCAAATGGCTAACTCAAAACAAAAGCAGGGTCCTCAGAGAATTCTCGAGTATCCAACAAATTGAGGGAAAGTTATTTTGGGTTAATCAATGTGCTTCAGTTGCAATCACATCTTGCCTCATAGAAAAGAGAGAAAAACAAGGACTCCCCTGCTTTGGATAAAGCCATTGACAATGACTTCTCATTTCCTACCCCTCCCCTCCCCTCCATCTCATAATAATTTATGTCTTTCCCACTCACAGGAGCTATTACCGGAAGCCACTGGCAGTTTCCTGAACATCTTTACAGGCAAGTAGGCTATTCTTGGTATGTAGGGACTAGACATTGATTAATGGGTGGGAACTTTGCATTCTGGCAAGATAAGCCTTAGTTTAAGCGGGAGAGGCCTTTGGATGTTGGTCAGGCTCTTATGTAAGTCAAACTGGGAAGCAAAATGAATATCTTGAACATAGCACAGTCATGCATGTATTAGACATTAAACCCCCTGCTGAGAGACTACCCTAGTGTATTAAGCACAAATATCGTAGATTTACACTTCTTCAAACAAATGTCTCCCAACCCTTTCAGAGTTTGAAGGAAGCATTCCCCCCTTGAAAAGCTCTTTAACATTGATGAGGCAATCTTTCAAATTCCAAAGAACTGTGGAACACAGATAAAAAATGCATTCAATTTATTTCCATTTAAAGCACTGTGGTATGAGCACCTGCCGTGTGTGAGATAGTGACCAGGCACCATCCTTTGGGTGAGCAAGATGAAACTGATAGAGGTGCTTCCTGACTTCAAGGAAATCAGACCATCCTAATTTAAAGGAAGGATTGGTGTGATGAAACGGCAGTGCTGCTCATAGCGATAAGCCCTAACATTTTCATTACCCACTGTAATATGCAAAGTGTATGCATATATGCGTATGTGATGTACGCACAGCTACAAGTTGTGCTTAACTCCTGGCAATGGATGTTGAGTGATCTTCACTGTTTCCCATTGGTTCATACAACACGGAGGGAAGAAAAAAGTCAGCTGGAGTCTTGTGATGTTAGTATAAACTACCAGGTGGTTAACGAAAAGTCCGTACTTTTGGAGGCAGACAGAAGTGTGATTCCTGGCTGTGCTAACTCTGAGCCTGTCCAACAAGAGACAAAATGCCCACTTCTCAGAATCATCAAGGCACGTGATAAAATATGAGCCCAAGGCCAGTTCTCAATACCTGTCATGTTGCTTCCCTGCTTGTATATGCTTGTGCAGAAGCTGTGGGTCATGCTGCAGCTCTGCCCTGGAGTTCTGCGAAAGGTCTTGTCTTGCTCTTTGCAGAACAGCTGCCTCACCTCTGTCTGGAGGAGGAGCTGCCAGGAAGGGAAGCTGTCAGGAAGAGCAAATACCCAAATTGGGCTACTTCCTGTTTTGAAACCCACGACTTGTTTGTAATCAAGGATGGGTAGTAGATGGGGGATGATAGTTTCCCCTGCCCTATGCATTAAAGGTGCCCGTGGCCCACAGAGAGCATGATCAGTAGTGGGCATTTGGGCCTGCTGCTGGCTTAACAATACACCCTCTCTGGGTGTATTCTGTTTTCTTAGAAATCTAAGATGCCAGTAGAGCAATGTATGGTAGCTTGATCTGCTGCCAGAAAGGGAGCCTGATGGATGCTAAGTGTTACTCAACCTTTGACCCTCCTTCCCTGTCACTATGGAGAAGTAAAGCTACCAGTATGGCCAGGGAGAACTTCTTATTCACTCCCTGAAGTTTACCAGAAGCACAGTCCTGGTTCTCAGCTCTGACGCCATAATCACCAGCCTCTCAAGCCTCTCCAGTCTCCTGCTTGGATGCCTCCAACAGGCTCTGAATTGCTGCCTTCCCTCTCCACATCCTGGCCTTCTGCAACCCCTGGTCCTTGCTACAATCAGCATCATCTTTTCAGAACGTAGCTCCATGACTCAGGCCTGCATGATATCCCTGGCCAGTGTGACTGGTTCAGGGCTGGGCTGTAACTTAAACTAGTGAATAATTATAACTCTCATTATTAAGCACTTATTGTGTGCCAGTCATGGGGCAAGACACTTACCAGCCAGCATCTCACTTGACTCTCTCAACAGTCCTATGGAGTCAGCACTCTTATTATTAGAGGGAGTAAATAAATTGCCACAGCATCCTAATTAGGCCACAGTCAGAACCTGAACTCAGTACTTTCTGGCTCAAGAACCCAAAGGTTATACATAAGTGTTGCAGTCAGTGAACATATAAGTGCTTTGTGGATGTTTTCTTCCAACAACAGGAGTTTTAGTTTTAAGTGTGTGTTTTTTAGCAAAGCAGGCATTAGGTGAAATACAGACAAACCAGGGAAAATATAGACCAGTTAAGCACCTGGTGGCCTGGAGCTGGGTGAGAGTATCCTCTCTCTCCTCCTGCTGGGGTGCTACCTTACAATGTCCTGTTTTTCTTTTCTTTCTTTCTGGGTAAAAAGTTACTACAGCTATATCTTGGTGAATTGGTTAGTTGCTTCCTCTGAAATTGATGTGGATGTTTTTGTGTATTCATTCTAGGGTGAAATCTGCAAGAGTCTTCCTTTGGGGTTTAGTGTGAAACAAAATGGGCTTTGTAACCATTACCCATCTCCTTAGCACATTTAATAGGTTAACCCAAGAAAGGAAGAGTCTCATTGTGCCAGGGATCTGGGTCAGAAGGATCAATGTAATTGCTATATGATCTCCAACAGGGCAGAGAAACTGACCAAACCTGGGCAGTGATGGGACCGCTGGACTCAGAAAGTGATACCCAAAAATGAGAGCCTCAGGGGCAAAGCCACTTTCTGTCCTTTCCTCCTGTCTTTCACCAACTTCATTCTCCCTTGAGGGAAGCCAGAGAAACTAGAATTCCTCATCCTAAGGCAGGTCATGGAAACCAGAACTCCCTTTCCCAAAACCAGCCGTGAAGCCTAAAAATGTCACTCTCACTTTCTTCTGCTTCTCTACATAACAGCTGGCCATAAAGAAATTCCAGATGGTTTCTGCCCCATGTCAGAGAGAAGAAATGCTACAACTGAAGGCCAAGAAGAATCTAGAGAGGACTAGCTGGTTTTCCCTACTCGCCACTTGTTTAGTCCTGTGTCTATACAGCTGTCCTTGTTTCATTGAACCTAAGCATAAAAGTGGATTATTGACTCTGGACCTTTGGGTCTTCATTCTGAAGGCTCTCGTGCATGTAAAACTTTGATTAAGTCAATGTGTTAGGCTTTTCTCTTGTTAAACTGTCTTTGGTTGCAGGGATGTCAGTGGTGACATTTTTTATGAAGGGCAGGAAGTGATTGCCCTCTTTTTGCCCTGCAGTTCTGGCACAGAATGTACATCCTTTATCTCAGGTCTAGCGGAGGCCACACTCGTCTAGGCCACATGCTCAGCCTAGCACATACGAAAGACTCAGTAAGTGGTAGGTCTTTTCATTCACGTTCTTACACAGAGGTAATGTTTACCTTAACACTCATAATTGTTGGATTGATTTACACCCCCAAATTCAAACATGTGCTCCTGACATACACAGCCTAGTCTTCCTTTCTCCTATGTCTGTCACTTTTAATGAAGCAATATCATTCTTCGTGTAAGATGATTGCTAATACAACTAATAGCTGTTAAATCGGAAAATACACATGACATCACTTAGTTCTCTCCCTATAAAAACCCATGACGAGTGCTTAGAGTAGCAGAATCCTAGCCACAGGGTAGAACGGTGATTGCAAGGGCTGTGGGAGAGGGTGACAGGAGATGTTGCTGAGTTTGTGCACAGCGTCAGTTTTATAACATGAGGAGAGTTAGGATGGAAGATAGTCATGATCGTGCAGCATTATGAAGGTGTTTAGTGCCACTGAACTATATATTTAAGAATCATGGGAGGTGTGGCTCAAGTGGTAGAGCACCTGAATTCAAACCCTAGTCTCACAAAAAACAAAAAAAAAGGAAGAATGATGAAGAAGGCAAATTTTATGTGATGAGTATTTTGCCACCATAAAAAATTTGAAAAACAGCTCACTGGATGTTTCTGATTATAAACTCAATATCCATGCCTGCTATAAAATGTAGGTAAGTCAGAAGAATATTAAGGAGTTAATTAGTCACTAATACTCCCATCCTTCTACCTAGAAAGCTCTGATCAATAATCTGATTGGTGTATTGCCTTCAAAAATTTTGCCTATGTATTATTTATGTTTGTAAAAATAAATGGTGTTATCCATGGTAAAAATGTGTGTTACTTCTTTCCAACTTAGGTGCTATTTTTTTCTTCTGAGAAATTGGTGTACTTTCTTCTTATATGATGTAAATAGCATAGCGTCACATTTTTTCATGTCTCATACATTATCATGTTTTGGCCACTAGGAAGCTCAAAAACCACAGATGTGGCTCACCTTTGATAAAAGCCTAAAATCTTGTTTTGCTTGTTTATAGTCTCACTTCCTTCTTGGTCTCTCCCTAATCCCGGTTTGTTTTCTAATTCATTTAAGCATTGTACTGCAATATTTTATTGTAAATACATAATTTTATATATGTTATTGTAAGTTGCTCATGGAAACAAATGAATTTATATGTAAGTATTCATTGGGAGGACGACTTGTTCAATTCTAAACATTTTTAAGCTGCTACAAACACATAATCTAGTGGATGTGGATGATAACGAAGTGGAGGGGTTTGATGTAAGTGTGTGTGTATGCATGAGAGAGAGAGAGAGAGAGAGAGAGAGAGAGAGAGAGAGTAACCTCAACCACCACGTATGTAACTCTATGGTCTGCTTGAGTCCCCAGTAGCAGTTTGTCACTTGAGAGTGTTTATGGACCTTATCTGCTGTCTCCTGATGAGCCTGGATGACTCATTTCTCTCTGGCCTGTATATCTGTCACAGCCTCCTGGCCCCTCCCTGGGCTCCAGAATGACACCTTCCACGCACTTTCTACTGAGTCCCATGGTGGTTTTCTTTCTGTTTTCACTGCAAATATGAAACATGGCCCTCCTCCCTAAGCGCTCAGTGTTGCCACAAAGCACCCTTTGAAATTTCCCAAGTTGGTGCAACCTTCTGATTTTGTAATGGAGAAAAGTGAAAGCCAGAGAGGGGAGGACAGCTGTGGTGCAGTGAGGAGCAGAGCCAAGGTTTCATCTCCTGCCACCCCCCGCCCCCGCCCCCTTGTTCATTTTAGCTCTCATGCATTATCTACTCAGGAACCTCTTCTGAAGACTAATAGTGTGGGACTCCAGACACACAGCAATGACCACACTGACACAGGGCCAAAAAACAGCGCAGCACATAATGGGTGAGGTGTTTCCGACTGTGCTAAGTGCTATACAGGCCAGAACAGGGCATGTGCTTGAAGACTGAGTGACAGAGAGTTGGCAGAGAGGCCAGGCAAGATAGTGTGGTCCTGCAGGGTCTCTCAATTGGCAAGTTTGAGCCAATAAATGATGTGGGACAAGCCTAGGTCTGGGCACGCACAGGAGGTTGCTTGGGAGCCTCCTCCTTCTTCTTGGTGCTCCGTCTTCCAGGACCAGACAGGTGTCGTGTGCATGAAGGGAACAGGAGAGGAGGCTGGAGAAAGCAGCAAGATCCCTTGCTGTGTTATCATAACGGGTTCCAGAAGCTCATCACAGAGTGGGGTGTTTTCAGACCAAAGGACAAAGTCAGGGAGGGGCTGGGGAGCTGAGCTTTTTCACTCTGCCCACCCCAAGCAAAGCATGCCCTTTCTTGCAGGATCAGATTTACACCTCGTGTTATTTTTAGCTGTCTCTGCAGCTCAGTGAATGCACCCCGCATGAAAGAGGAGACGCCTTTATCTTTGTGGTGGAGAAATGCTTGTGGTAAGAGGCAGTGTGACAGTGAGGAAGAGCACGGGCTTTGGAATGAAGGAGAATTGAGCTCCAATCTCAGCATGGTCCTGAAACTAGATGCAGACTTTCAGCAAGATGACCTCACCTCTCCTTAGTGACCATCTGTAAATTAAGCAAGTGAGCACCGTTGTGTCAGTCCTTTCTAAAGAGCCTCTGGGCTCATCTTCCTAAGAACTTGTTTTACAGATGGGGAAACAGACCCAGAGAGGGAGACCTGGAATTCAAAGTCCAGTCTGGGCCAGAGTCTATCCAGTCTATACTGTCAGGGGTGTGCAAAGAACTAGGGTTGGTGAAAGGCTCACATGCAAGCTCAGGCCCTGGCAGTGTTTGATCCACTTTCTGCTCACTCTAGGGAAGCGGATGGGTGCTTTACAGGTGCAGATGTGGGGAGTGGAGGGAGGTGAGGCTGCTTGGTTGTG